AGAATTAGAATTAAAATGAGTGTAAACGTATGGAAACAGACTTGGACTCTCACTCCTCTGACCTTTAAATGATCTCTGAACCAAACCCCGACAGACAAACTTGAAGTTAAACTCTTGAACCTGCTGTGCAGACATAATAAATAACTGACGGCCGAGATGGAAATGATTATAAAACCAGGAGAGATTTAAAGACATCGCATTTATCATTTCATCATTTATAAAAAGATCCAGATTCGTACATTTTAATTTCACACATTCTTCGTTCGTTTGTTTTAAATTTATGAACATTGAAGCAAAAAAGAACAACTTCACATCAAACTATTTCGAACGTGCCCAGAACTGAACTACGAGCTGAGGTTTGGCCTCATGAATGAGGGAGGAGCTAAATCCTGATCCAGAAAGGTTCATGAATCTGGTTAATCTCTTTATCTGATCTGTTTCTGATCAGTCTGACTTCTCTCAGTGTTTTCAGAATCATTTCAGGTCGATGAAGGTTTCACGCAGCCCGCACGTTCCAGTGAAATACATTTCTCAGCTAAGTGAGTCATAACCAAAACTGAAAATCTTAAATTAACATTTAATTTGATTATAAAATTACACTTGATCGTTTCTTTCACTTAAATATTGTCGCTGCTTTAAGATTTAAATGTCTTTAAAATGCTAACGGGGACGTTTAAGTCTTAACATTTGCATCCAAGAATTTAAAAAATACAAGAGTGATAAAGTCACATGATTCTGCAGCTGTTTTCTTGCAGCTGCATTCAAGTAGAGAAATCTGATATTTAATGAAAAGGGGGAATTATTGAACCAGCTTGTCATTTTAACTGTGTGTGTGTGTGTGTGTGTGTTTGGTTGAACCTGAGCTCAGGGCCTGACACCTTCATACTCGGTTCAATAGGACGATCGATTGCACCACGCCGCCTGTTGTCAGCCGTTGACCTTTCGGCCTCTCGCCTGCCCCGGTGGAGGCGTCTGAATGTGGGTGGACTGGAAACTGACATTTTGTTCACACTTGTCCAGGAAGTGAACTGGAACCGCACTGGACCGTTTTTTGCATGAGCGGCTGCGATCGTATCTGAGGGAGAGAAAACAAGAGACAGGCAGATAAAGACGGTGTGAGACAGCGGACTGATCCTCCAGTGTTTGGTTTGTGAGAACTCACAAGTTCTCGATAAGTCTGGAGTGTGTGTGACAGAAAAAAAATGATGCGAAGGGACCAGGAGATGCGCTGATAGCAGCCTGCATGCTGGGACGCTTTTTTTGTCTTTCAGTTCCATGCAGGACAGAAAACACACACACACTTGTCTTTCATTGGCTGTCAGCTGTCACCAGACCTTGGCATCCCAGTGTGTTTATAGGCCGGTACGAGGAGTGAGAGGTGATACACAGGAGGATTAAATTTACCTGGGAGGTTAATCTGGGGTCAACTGTACAGAGACGTGGGTGTAGTCCAGGCCGCCGTCTCCGGTTTCACGGCTTTGTCAGGAAAGGCCTTTGTTTGCTTCTTCCTTTTTATTTGTGCATCTTGTTTTGTTTAATGTCAAGTCTGGACACATGAGACTATGGAGGCTGCGCTGGCGTTTCCTGTAACGTTTCCAGCCCTGACATGAACGGGTTCGCCTCAAAAACCACTAAAAGCTGCCGCCAACGACCTCTCGAGTCCGTCATCCAAACTCAAAGAAGGTGAGAGGCAACATCGGCTTCTGTCAGGGGATTTCACAGTTGAGTCCAGGCGGACGACACAGTCGAGCGGGCGGAGTGCGAGCGGCTTAGTCGTCCCAGCGACACCAGGCCCAGAGAGCATTCATGAAATTCCTCCTGGGTTTGGACGCCGTAGGTTTACTCGAGGAAACAGGGCCTCGCTGTTATTGATCGTCTTTCTGCAGTAACTTATCAAGCTAAAGCGCTAAAACATCTCAGCTTCTAATATTTGAGGATTAGCAGCTTGTTTTTTTATGGGTGTGTTACAGACATTTTTGAGGGGGCGTCATTACATCTGCAGCCATTTGCAGGGATTCCCATAAGTTGCTGTGGTTCATCCTTTGGGGATCATGCACATCAGGAGAAAACTTTATAGGAATCCCATCAGACAGTGGTCGAGAAATTTCCATCTGGACGTCCCTGCAGCTACAGCATGGCTAAAATATCCATATTGTGAGTTCTGCTCATCATGAACACGAGAAGCGTAAATGTGGTCGTGAGATGTGCAAAAGGTCTTAAGCAGTAATTTAAAGATTCAGAGACGTTTCTCGAACTCTTCTGCAGCTCAGACCACGGGAAGAACGGGAGGATTTCATCGAATCGGCCTCTGAGAATCACAGGAGAACCAGATGATTCTCAAACCTTCTCATCTCCGCACAAACTCATCGGGGCCATGTTTGATATTAAGGATTTAAAATCGGGATGACGCGATTAGTTCTTTCTGATTCCGGAATCAATGACAGAGATGAGTTCTCATGAAAATGAGAAGTGAGGCGGTGCGTCTCTCGTTTGAGATGAGGGAGGAGAGTATCTGTGAAGAGTTTTCCTCTCCTGCGTGATGCAACTTGATTTCAGAATCAGTCAGGATTTTAAAACTCCTGTAAACTGAGCCCAGCTTTAGTTGAGTGGAGCCGTCAAACACTTCCCACTTCCTTTCAGTCCTGGTCTGAAGTAGCTGCTGGTAACTCACACATGACTGGACTGGTTTCAGCAGCAGTTCAGACTCATCTTTAACTTCCTGTGAGCAATATTTGGTTTTACATCTTTGCCCTTCCGCTGACGTCCTCACTTTCCTGTTTCCTTCCTTGTAAAACACCGGTGATAAGGGACAGAGTGGAGAGCTATTTGAAGAGGGTTCGCATTATCTCATCTGGAAAAGATGCAGCAGCTCCTCGTCCCCAAGTCACAACTTGTCTTTTCCCTGCAGCCCTTCAGACCTGGGAAAGCTTAATGGAGACTTGTTGACCTGCAGGCTTTAGAGTTTCCCACCGTCGACGTCGTCTCCGTATGTCAACAGGTTTGCTGTCTGACTCGTTGGCCACGTTTCCTTTTTCCATTCAGTTTGTTCCTCAGAGACAAATTTCTCTTCACATACGGAGCCTGGGGGGCGACGGCAGCGTCTGTCTGCTGAAGAGATGATGGTTAGCGTTTGAGAGAACATGCAGCGCGGCTGCTGCACAAATAACTTTACTCGTGACCTTTACGGTTGAAAAGGTGACAAAGCAGCAGTTGTTCTCTGGAGAGAAGAGACAGAAACATTCTCCTTTTTAAAAATACAAGAAAGTAAAGTGGTAAGATTTCTACTTACGTTTTGTAAACTCGCTTTAGAGGAGAGGAATCGTTATGTTTCGTTAAACTGGTTCACACAGACGTCACTGAATATATAAACTTTATCAAAACACAGTAACATACAGAAGTGGTACGTCTTACCTTAACTGCGCAGGTGATGGAGGAAACATGCGAATGGCCATAAAGTGGTGTTAGTGCAGGAAATAAGGAAATATTTAGTATTTGATATGTCGTGTAAACTACACAGCAACAAATACATCTTTCTGTCATTTGCAAAAAAGGATTGACAGACATGTTAAGTGGGTTTTAGTGATTATTGTTTGCAGATAATTAGTCTCCAGACAGGATTAACTCCCTCTTACACCTTTTACGAGACTCCATTAACAAAAATAATGATACTCTCTTAGGACATTTGACTGAAGTCCTGTGTAAAACTAAATCTACAGCATTTCATTTACACATGACGTCTCTGAGACTTCTTAAACAAGTCATCGCTTCAAAATCATGTGTAAAAGAAATTCTACGAAACGTTGTCAAAGTGAAAACAAGGCTGAGGCCTCCGGGGGCTCAAACAGGACATCACATTGAATTTTCAATTTCTTACAAATATTGCACATTAAAAATAAACACTTATATTGTCATTATCCATGTTGTGTTCAGTGTTATTTCAACTTCAAATAAAACATTGATCTTCTCAGAATCCTTGTTCTTCACTCTGACCTCAATATGAGGCAGAAACAGGTTGTTTTAATCAGACTGTAAAAATATAATGATTTTCCTCCTCGAGGCTAAACACAGACATGTTGTGCTGTAATTAAGGTCTTTTCTTGTTGAAACAATAGTTTGATGATTATGCAAAGTTCAACTCATTCATGGACAAACTCAGAGAAACTTTCCCGGGGAATTAGATTCTCAGTAACGTCGTGTTTAATGGTCCTGACACAGACAAATGCTTATAATGTTTTAGGCATCTGACTCATGCAGACGAGTCAAACAAAACCAAAGACACAGAACGGGCCCCTGAGGGGAAACATTATCAGTCCAATCAGAGATCCAGCATCATTAGATGGGATAAGGCCTTTGCAGAAACACTGCACAGCTGTTGCGCGGAGGGGGAAATACAAAAACAACAGATAACCTGGATAATAGCAAGTGCTGGAGGCTTGATTCATTTCCAAATGTTAACAAGGCCATTTCACAGCTCCAGCACGCTGCGCAGTATGTTAATACCACTAATAAGCCTATCTCTGCGAGTCATCTCGGACGGCTAAGATTTGAGCGCGGGGCGGTTGTTGTACAATAAAGCTGCTGGGCACAATTTAAATGAAGCATAAGTATTTATGATTTCACAAAGCTGACATAATTGCTTAAAGGGTAACTGAGGAGAGCATTCGGTCTCACACTTTGTTTTGTGTATTATGAAAGAGCGGATTTCACTGTTTGTGGAAAAAAAAGGGCTACTGTGTGTAGGCCATCGGAGCGATGGGAGGAACTTGTGCTCGCCTGTTAAGCAATTTTTCAGCTTTTATTCGAGCTGTCAAATCAAACAATCAGGAGATAATGCAGCCTTGGTTTGTAAATTAAAAACATGTCAAGAGATGCACTAAAGGCAGCGACAGATGCCACTTATCTGCAGCAGCCTCTGCAGAGTGACTGTATCATCGGAAGGGAAATATAACATTTTGATGTTTACATAAGAGAAGTATTAGTATCAGTCAGAAATGTAATTCCTTTCACCCTTCCCTCTCGCAGGGGATTGACTCCCCAAAAAACATACAATGATTTTTTTTTTTTAAAGCAAACAAAACAAAAAAAAAAAGGAGCAGAAAAGCATCCTCGCTGATCTTCTGTCCATTTCCAACATCGCTTCTTGTATATTTTTTGGTGGAAATCCTCTTAGAATGCAAAGTAAATAGATTACGATACAGTGAGGGATTAGGGCTCGCGCGGCGCTGTCAGATTAGTCGGTGAGCGCAGCGCGTCGACAGCTCTGACACGGCTATGGCTGCTGTTCAGGAAACAGGCTCCGCGCGATGCTTTAAAGTCCCTGGTTGGCTCCTATTCATGAATAAAACTGTGGCCCGTAATCTCGGCCAACACACACACACACATCTCTTCACACACACACTCACACAGAGGCAGCCTGGAACATTCAATATCAGTGGTGATGGAAGTATAATAGAAGTCTTTATTTTTCAGGCTGATTAATGACAAGGTTTCAAACATTTTTTGTCATGTTTTTAAAAGGAGGAAATCGGTAGAACACTTTTCTTTTTCACTAAGACAGAAAATAACCTCGACCCATTCAATGTTTTTGACTGGGTGGAAATTTTACACATTTACTATGACAGCTGTAAGAAAAATAAAGGCTTCTGGCTCAGCACACACTGGTTTTCTGTGTCGCTATATCAAAACTGACAATTAAAAAAAACTAACACTCCACGTTGATCATTTATACAGTCATCTGTGTGTGTGTGTGTGTACAATATCCCCACACATTACATAAGTGAGAAACTAGTTTGTATATAAAAATATATATACAAAAGAGTCTGATATTGAGGAGGTGTTGTTGTGTTCCTTCACTTTCCCCCTCAGTTTAATAAAGTACCTCTCAAATCGTATGTGTCTCTTTTCAAACCATTCCTAAATGGACCACGTGAAGCGTCCCGGGGTCGTCTTCTTCCTGAGAGACACGAGACACAGAGAAGTTGTGTTTTACAAATCTTAGCAGCTCGTAAAGGAAATAAGAAGACAAACAGTTTGTGTGTTTTATTGATCGTTTTACTGTTCAGTGCTCTCAGGGGATTGATAATGGTTTAAGGTTTCTTTTTAACAGAAACTTCATACCATTGTTTCTCTTTTCTACATTCAGGCTCCTCCACAAGTAAAAGAAAATATCTTTGCTTGATAAACGATTAATCTAAATAGTTTGTGATTAATTTTCTTTAGCCCCAAACTTTTCCACCATCACTGATGTTTTCAGTCACACTTGTGCTTTTCCTGCTGTGACGTGCGAGAGAGGCCGATAGTTATATTGATTAATCAGTGTCTGTGTCTATGTTTGCTGATCTGAGAACTTTTATTTTACAGAATACAATACATGTGCATTTACTTCTTATGTAAACACATTTTTTTTTCTTACTTCAAGTTTTATATATTTGCATCTGTTTGTGCTTTCTCATTATTTCTGGATACTTCTAATAAAGTTTATGGTGCACTTTAAAACAATAAGCCTGAATTACATTTATATATATATATATATATATATATCAGTATTTAACTTCTTTTACTCCCTAGTATCGTATTAGCCCCCAAATATCTGTATCAGTGGAGCTTTAGTTTTTCTTATTTCACCAGCTTGTCAACCCAGTGCTGTAGTTCACTGCTGTGACTTCACTACTTCACTATTGGCTATAAACCTATAATATGATTTTTGATCCCGTTTTCATCCCATCCACATCGAGACATGATGGAACATCGTGAATTCTGTCGACAGAATGTGCAAAATAAAAAATCAATTTTCAGTCGATCAACTTACGTCTCTGTCAGCGTCGGCGCTTCCTGCAGAACCAGATGAGCCGACAGGAGATGTTGGGCGATGTTCCGGTAAACCAGCCGCGACACATTAAACAAAGTACAACAGCCGAACATTAGACATGCATAATCACACACGACAGCCCTACAGCACCAAAACACTGACTGACACACTCACACATGAAACCACGCAGCAGAATGCCTGAACAGGTTACATGCTCACTCAGTAGGTCAGACACGTTGCCTTTTCCGGGTTTTAACAAGTGTAGTAAACCGTTGTCACTCATGGCGATCTCTCTCTCTCGCTCTGAGCGCTGCGTTAATAAGGTTATGATTGACATTAAAACCCCAGCGTGCCTTATACAGATATTTAAAACGCAGATGCAAATTCTCTTCAATAGCCTACAGGCCAGATTACCAAATGACAGAGCGATTTGGTAGCGAGACAATTGCTAATAACCCAAAAAATTGAACTATTAAAATGGAGAGAGTGGGAAGGAGGGAAGGAAGGAGTGAAGAAGAAGAGGAGGAGGAAGAAGCAGCAATGTTTTCTTAATGGATGTTTTTCCTAAATGACCAGTTAGTCATCGCAGACTTCTGAGACTCAGAGCACTCAGGCCACATTTAGAGAGTTTAACACTAGAGAATTATTGCAGGTCATAAAAACGTGGCCCTGAAATCGACATGCTGAACATTATGTGATTTAAAGTCACACAGAGATACAGATAGTGACCAACACACAGACCTGTTTGTCTCAGTGTCCTGAACACGTCTGGAGTCACAGTCACGTGTGTGCTCTCTGCCTGTTGTCTTCTCGGACAGAATCGTCCATCAACACTAAACAGAAAGAAACCAAATGTTAAAATACAACAATGAAAGAGAAGCACAGGAAAATAATATTGACTTCGCAGCGGAGGAGCCACAGAAGAACCTGTTTTTTGTCTGAAACAATCTTAAATGTAACATCATCAGTTTGTGACGTTCGCTGCTTCTCAGGAATTATTTTCATCTGCTTCTAAGAGAAATATGAATAAAAATAATCTCTTGCGGTTAACGAGGGCGACTCTCAGGTGATTGTTTTGTTCTTTCACGATACGCAAAGTGTACAGTGCATGTACTGTACGTAAACTAAAGGTATGTATAATCTTTCCTTGCATCAATACAATCAACCAACTCCATTTCCTCAGGGGCCGCATCCTTCACTTTCTGCATTTGAAGGAAGTTTGCATCTCAGCAGTGCAACATTTTGAAGGCTCCTTCTAATGAGGCAGACAAATGTGTGTTTATATTCCTCAGCGACGAAGGATCTGAGGGATCTGACGAGCTAGCTATGCAGTTACAGTTGCTCAAAGTAGCCGACGATGCAATGTGAAGAGGAGACACAAGTTGAAATTCTTACACCTTAACCAGACCACAACCTATCAATCAAATCAAAGAGCTGCGAGTGGCTAAACATAACCACAAGAAAGTTTAATAACTCTACAAGTCATTTTAAATAGTTTGGCAGAAAACAAATTAAATGACGACAGTTACACTTTAACAGATAAATTCAGCGTCAGTGATTTTGCGACATTACTTAACATAACAGAAAATGTGATGCGGCTTCTGTCATGTGATGCAAACTTGAAACCAAGAAACTTCTCAGATGCTTGAAAACGTAATTTACCGTCATCCTCTGTTTCTTGAGTGTTTAAACAACAGACTACTCATGGTTTTGTTTTTAAACTAACACAACAACTTTTATTTGTATTAATCACGACTCATATCTTCAACATCTTGACAAGTCTTTACAAAAGTGAAACCTTAGTGTTTCTGCTCGGGGCTCCAGGACCTGTAATGTCATAACTGAACCCCTCCCTCCTCAAAATTTACACAAACTGATAATTAAATTGTCAGATGTAAATTCTTGGCTCCCTGTCACTCTAAACTAGCTGCACATTAACTAAGGCCTCCGCCGAGCAAAAATAAAAATAGCCTCCATTCTTCTTTACTCCACTGACAGCGAAGTACGTGATGAGCGAGTGAGGCCAACAGCCATCAAAAGAACGTTGGGACGTTTCCCAGATTCTCGTCTCGTTCTCTCTCATTTCTCCGTGCGGCAGAGTCGGATTTGGGGGAATGCGGGAATCGGCGAGGAGCCCCCAAACTGCCATTGTGCTCGCCTCCCCCTCTTTCTCTGCTCTTTTCTCAGCGAGCCAAACGGGAGAACGCCCGCGCTATAATGCCTCCCCTACTCCATCACGGCTAAGCTGTCATTGGCTTCACATGAGAAACAATGAAACTTCATCGGAGACCAGATTATAAAAGAAAAAAAAAAGGGGTGGGGGGGTTCAATATAAAAATTGTTCTGAAGGAAGGGGGGGGTGAATTGTGCAATAAAAAAGGCAGCGGCTTTTGTCTCTTTCTCTGTGGCCATTATCTTTGGGGAGGTTTGGGGATCTGCTTTCTTAGCCCCCCTCAGTGGTGCAGGCGAAGACCTGGGGTAGTACGAACAGGCTTTTGGCTGCCAAATCGCCCTAACCCTCTTTACCACTCTTTTTTTCCTCGTCTCGTTCCTTTTACTGTTTTTTAAAAAGAGCTTAGGCCAGAGCATCTCTCTCTTGCCCCCCTCTTCTCTCTCTCTCTGGACCCAGCTTGTTTAAATTGGCCGATAGGAGGGGATTTGGGATGGATGGAGGGGGCTTAGAGAGACGCGGAGGGGTGGAGGTGCAGAGAGTCATCAGTGTTACAGTCAAACAACCATGAAAAGCCTATGAAGATGAGAAGAACAAGAGCGCCTTTTTTATCTAATGCACACAAATCCCATATAAATACTCCAATATGTTAGTTGGGGTATGACAAGGAATGCCCCTCCATCACTTCCCCACCGCCACCACCCCCCCATTCTACAATAACACAGACGTGGATGACTATATTTGTGTGTGTGTGTGTGTGTGTTTGTGTGTGTGTGTGTGTGTGATAGACAGGGACAAAGGGAGGGATGCTCTCACTGCGTCTTTTAGTCACACTCTTCCAACACATCATTCAAGTCGACCAGTGTATTAAACAATCACTCTGAAGCAGTGAGTTTGGTTTTTGCACACCAGAGACTGAAGCGTGGAGAAAAATGGACTCTGGTGGCATTTTAAATGTGGCTCCGTGTTCGCCGTTGGGATCGCTTAAGAGCCAGAACCGATGTGGCTTTGACATTTGAAATGACACAGGGAACGGAGGCTTCCAGGCTGTAGCTGGGTCATTTGGCCGCAGACACTCTCGTACAATTCACACACAGACAATGATGAATTGTGGTGGAGAACAAGTATGACCGAGAGAGAACAAGTGGAAGAGGCCTTATTTATACTGAGCTGAACGAATTATTGTTTTTAATTGTCTCTTATTTTATTAATTTCTGCGATTAAAACGGATACAGTTGAAATAACTAAATTAAATGACGATGTGGAAACTCACTGTGTTGTGGGTGTCCCTGAGTACGATGGTCCGACTGCACTTTGGTTCCGCTCCGTCTGTCTGTTACCGAGGCTCGAACCACACACATCATTTCTGCCTCTCAGAAGATCTTCTAACACACAAACACAAAGAGGGATAAGAACAAGCAGGAGCAACAGTGGACATTTATCTGAGGATGAAATCAATGAAATGTCTTTCTCGTTATGACATTTAGGTTGTCTTTCTCTTTATGTCCAACTGGACGTGTCTTTATGTTGGCTACAAAAGTTCTTCTCTCCCCTTTGGAAGGTTTCGTTATTGTTTTATGACACTGAATCACACAAACATTTGAGCAGAGCTTGTTAGGATGCTAACTTCATTAGAAGCAAGACTAATGAAGAGCTAACATCGCTGTTGCTTTCCACCGCTGGACACTGCTCTTAGTTAGATCAGTAATAACGCTGACTACTTACATCTATCACCTGCAGATAATAAACTTGTATGTGTGAGAATGATGGTTCTGATGTGTCCACTGTTTTATATTCAGTCCCGTCAAATAAAGTTGCATATTGTCTGTAGAACATCTCTTGCAATCCATCACCTCTGTGTGCTTCTGTAAACAGCCACAAGTGTAGGTTTTCGCTAACTTGACAGTCTTGCTTCTGACAAACATGTTATTCCGGTCGAGCTTCAGAACTGATACGAGAACTCAAACACTAATGGAGGATGAGTCAACAAAGCAATCGACGGAGCTGAGAGCGAGAAACAAACGCCGTGTTTCTTCAACACACAGCGGAGCTAACAGGCTTTTATCACGGCGACTGAGAAAAGAGGGAGAGAGAGGGAGCATGAGGAGGTGGAGAAGTGGATCTTCAGATAAAGCTCTTGTCTCCTTGCCCATTGAAAGGCCCCACAGTCACATCATCCTTTGTGAGGGGGAGACGGAACGATCAGGCAACCAACTTGGCTTCTCCTCTTGGCAAAACGCTTCTCAAAAGAAAAGGAGATAGAGAGGAAGAGAAAGAGGCCTTCCCTCGCACTTGTTCACTACTCTGCCTCTCACAATGCCATATCTATCCAAATCAACACACTTGTCAGCCAGACAGCTACAAGCGATTTCCAACGCTGTTATAAAAGGAACCATTTCTAAGCTGAAATGTGTGTTCTCTATTGTGTGTGAGTGTGTGTGAGTGTGTGTGTGTACGAGCCACGGTAGCATCTCTGTGTATCAGCGTTTACAATGGATGCACATAAACATGAGAGGAGATACATAGAAACACGGTGGCTCTGCCCAACCTGATTCCAAGTCCAGGACTGACGCTGGTAAAAGACGTCCACTTTAAAGAATCACTCCATCTGGTATCGAGACTTTTTTTTGTTGTTGTGTTCATACAACATCATGAGATGTTCTCCCCTTTCCAGTGTTTCTCCTTTCAAATGCAAATCAGCTCATTTCTACAGTTTTCACAAAGTAAAATGAGATAAAACCGATGGGTGGCGATGGCCTAGATCGGATGTTACTTCTCCTGCTCGGTTGGTTTTCTACCAGTAAATTCAGTTGTCAAATGGCTTCACACGAAATGACTGAATAGACCCTGAGTCCTGAATAAAAACCTGTTCACCTCGAGTTTAAGAAAAAGTTTGCTATTTTGGATACAGCGATGCCTGAACGCTACCAGCCTGCATCTCTGAATTTAATCGATTAACACGTTATATCCCGTTTGCGTATTCTGCAAGAAACCACACCCACGTGTTGGTGGTGGCAGCCCAGACGTCCTCCAGATCTAAATGGTGAATAACACGGTGGGAAATATAATGTCATTTTGCAGGAGGGATCCTGATCAGCTCCAAGCTCCCACCAGTATCTGGTCTCCTCACCTATTGATCTAAGATGGAATTATGCTTCTGTGAGACATTGTGAATGTGGCAGTGAATGGTGTTATGGGTAACCGTAGGTGGCAAAGCCTCACAGAGGAGCCTACACACACACACATACACCTCCAAGGGTCTCAAGCGAGCAGTTTGGTTGAGCCGATTCCTGTTTGAAGGTAATTTTATAACAAATTTCAAAACGTTGAATTATTTTCTTTGAAATCGGTAAAAAATAAATCCTGTATCCGTCAACTGTAAAGAAGGTGTTGTGTCTTAATGTGAGGAATGTTTCACGAAATCATCAGCTTCATCAGCAACAGTGTCGACTAATCAGGTCGGCAAGATCCATTACATATCAGTATTATCATCGTTATTAGTTAAGTACATAGAACTTCCTCATACGGTCTGGTGCTGTGACAATTCATTAGTAAAATGTCTCAACTTCCTAGTGTGGCCCGTCATTTGTGTTTGAGCTGTCAGTGGTTGGTAGAGACAAGTGTTGGGTCACTGTGGGGAACACCTGCTTTGCATGAACTACACAAGCTGCATCCACATTTCTGTTTAGCATGATGATGATCAGTAATGTTGGTTCACACAGGAAACAGTATGACCCCCCCATAGACTGTAAATAAGGACCTGCCTCACAAGCACCCAAACACACACACACACACACAGTTCACATATTTACACAAACGCATGCATGTCCGAGGGCCATTCTGTGTGTGACCATGACGGAGAACAAACACTTTTCAGACTCGGATGTGTGTTTTAACAGGTATTTGTTGGTTTAGGTCGAGGCTTCATGTAGATGCACTGTGGGAACTTTTTTTTATGTGAAAGAACCCGGACACTCTTATATACTACTGGGCTATACTGGGAGGTGTTCCTAATATTTTGTCCATCTTAATTCATATAAACAAGATGGACAAAATATTGAGAAGCCAGTTGAGTTCAACGGCCCCACAGATTACATCCTGAACCAAACAAACCAGCATATTGCCGCCCCCATGCGTGGTTTTGAATAAAATGCTGGTGTTCTGGAATCAGAGGCGTGACGTGTAACACAAGCGTCGGCGTCTGTTCCACCGTTCCGGTTCTCCCTTTTACACAGAAGTCGATTCGGCTCTGTGACTTCCTCTGCTGCCAGCATAAAGGCAGATTAACAATAACCCCCCACCATTCCATGTCGATACCTTTTATACAGAACAGCGAGGCAGAATAATGGCGGAACATTCCTGCCTTGAACAGGTCGTGTTTACGGATTTATGAAATGTGACATGGAGCTGCAGCTGCTCAAAGTCACAAGCCAAAAAGGTGGGAAGCACTGGTTTAATCCTGAACCATGAATGATATGGTTTTTTAATCTCAGATCTAGGAAAAAAAACAAAATTTGAGCTTTTTAAAGGAAAATAAAATGTGTGTAGTGGAGTTAAAAAAAAAGATCTAGAAGATAGTTACACTCAGAGAGGCAGAAATGGAAATATTTGTCCCTCAAAATAGTACTTTAGTCCAGAACTTAATAAATCGACTGAATTACTTTCAGCAAAACAGAAACTCAGGGACAGTCTCATGAAAACTTTCTTAATGAACTGAACGTCCTGTTTCATTAACATACGTGTGCTGGTAAAAAATCTGATAACAAGAAAAGAAAACCAGTAAATACATAGTGTTTGCATAAATTGACATGTTTGTACACGTGTGTGTGTGTGTGTTCTGTGAGCCACAGCTGATCCTGGTGGTGTGCAACGACCATGCCATCGGCTGTGTGTGAGTGTGTGTGTGTGTGTATGTAAAGAGAGACACCTGTACACTGGAGCCCTCTGCACACACACACACACACACACACACACACACACACACACACACACACACACACACACACACACACACACACACACACACACACACACANCACACACACACACACAGACTGGTGGTTCATGTGTATGCGTCTGTTACACTCCTGCCTGGATCCGAATATCGTGTTATTTGTGTTTCATCATGTGTTCATGACAAATATATAATACTAATAATATTATCAATGTCACAGGCTACTTCTAAACTGATTGTAATCCAGTATCTGTGGAGATGTCAGGCCACTTGAACGCTTCATAACCTTCTCAAGAAATGGTGTGTGGTCGTACGAAGCCCTGCAAACAGAGGCTCGAATCATCAAGCAGCTGCAGGTTTGATTCTGACGCAGCCCTTTGCTGTGTGTTTTCCCCTCATGTCATGCTTAACTCTGTCCAATCAATAAAGACGAAAGGCCCCCAAAAAATGGGACTTATGGAAATGATGCTTAATGTAGTGTGAAATGCCAACTTAAAGTTTAAAGATAAAACCTACAAATGGAAGAAAAAAAACTTCACGCATTCTTAACTTTTCATGTTTTTTTTCTCTACTCATTCATATTCTCATTTCATTTTTTTATTTTCTTTCCTTCACTCCCGTCCCTTTCCAATTCATTTGTTTTATCCTCTTATCTTTTAATTTCACTGTCCTTCCTTTGATTTTCTTCATATTTGTCCTCCTGAATTCTCCTCATCGTTCTCTGTCATCCCTCCTTTTCTTTTTTCCTCTCCTCTGTCCCTTCCTCCATCCTCCTCTACTCTGCTGTTGTCCAAGGATAGGACATGCTGCAGGTGATGGAGGTAAATCATAGAGGACATAATTAAGAGGCTTATGAGGAGGCGTGTGCGTGTAACGCATCACATTAGAAAAAAAAATAAAGAAATTACATGCAAACAGGCCTCACAGTTACACAAATGCTCATTTTCATTCACTGACAAACACACAAGACACTCAGCCTCAGGGGTTTGACCTTATACAGTGGAGTTAAATACCTCTCTTGTCTCATGTGGTCGTCTCATTACACACACACACACACACACACACACACACACACACACAAACATAGCCTTCTGGTGTGTTTTAAGCACCAATGAAGGACTCATCAGACATGTTCATCTAGTTCCCTCACAAATTTGAATGTTTTCTACTCACCCGTTGGCTCTTAAAGCCTTAGTGTGTGTGTGTGTGTGTGTGTGTGTGTGTAATGAGGAACTCTGCTTGATCCCCTCTGGTATGTGCTTTGGGGAATGTTTGTCAAAGGGCAGCAGCACAGCCTGAAGTAACAACAAAAAACTGGGCCTTCTCTGGGTTTCCTCCCCTCGCCTGTTCCTCAAACAACTTGAGGAAACATCAAGTGTTTATACTTCACTTCACAAACACTTTCTATTCAGTTTGGGCAAAACCGTCACCCGGAACCACGTACATTCAAAAAAACAAAACTTATTCCTAGAAAACAAGTACAGATTTTGTGCAGGGAGTCATTATGTAAAGGTTAGTTTCAGTTTCAGAAAATTGTGTCGGAGTGGGTGAGTTACTGAGGTTATCAAATATCCACCTCCCATTTCAAATGAGAGAAATGAGAATTAAAAGATCACATTTTCAGTTGGACATTATGATTATTTTCTTACCGTTGCCTGCGACAGGCTCGGCCTCGATTTCATTAGCTTTCCTCTTGGCCACGTCCGCTAGCACCACCTCGCCCTCGTCACTGGCGACATAATGGAGGTCCTTTGAAGGTAATGCAAGAAAGAAAGAATTGTGAACGTTAATCTAAAATGAATCTAAGCTCCGATCACAATAGGGTTTTTTTTTTTTTTGGAGGGGTGGAGGCGGTGTTTTGGCGGTGAAGGAAGAAATAGATGAAATGACACGAAAAGGGGAAAAAATGGAGTCGTCGTTTGAAGCCCAACATCAGAAAGAGCACCGGTTGGATGAAATGCCGGTTCCTCAAAAAACTTTGAAATCAGCCTGCTTGTAACCCCCCCCACCCTCCCCCCTCCCACACCCTCGTCTCTCTGGGTTTGAACCAGGGAGGATGTTATCTGTCATATTTCAAAAGTGGGAGAGAAGGCGAGGGACTGTTCACCTTTCAGAAACGCTGGTATTCTCTCTTTACAGAGAAACATATCCAGCCGAGCATATTACTATATCAGCCTGTGACAATATTGGAAACAGCGTGTATCCTCTGTATCACTCTGTTTGCGTCTCGCACAGCCATAAAGAGAGATAATATTGGTACATGATGTCTGAGTGTGGCTGATTTAAAGCTCAATATGCTGCCATACTATTCATTAGTAACCACACTGCGTCGCTCAGCTGTTCCTGTATTACTACAAATGAAATACCTGAAAACTTGAAATTCTAAAATTGCATTCTTAATAAATGAGATTAAATTAAATCCAGATCTTAACTGGTCTGTGACGGACATGTAATGTGTCCTATGTGCTGATTATAAGCAGGGTATGAGTATGAAGTATATTCACACTGGACAATAGACTGAATCAGGAAACTGTAGTAACGTTGTGGGTTTCTGATGTGTGTCAGGCTGCATGAGCTGCAACTCTAAACATATCTAAAATAAAACACCTTCAGTGTTACTCTATACTTATACTCTACTTGCTCAGATGATATTTAAACAGTATCGCTGACCATTATTAATGACAGGTTGGCGTAACAGCTCCCTCACGTTACCCTAATTGTTCCACCAAATATTTAAAGAGGAAACAATTAAAATTATATGTCGTAACACGTTGACTAAACGATCAAACATTCGACCTCTTGAACTGACTGAGAGTGAATCAAACCCTCATTCTGGCACCCAACGAGGGGCTACTCAGGGTCGCAGGGTTTCCTCGAGCGGAGTGCAGGGCCTGAGGGCCCATCAAAGGGTACAGCGTGTTAAGGAAAGTCTTCCGCCTCAGCGACATCACAGGACATCAGTGCCGTAACTCAGGGCTCGCCATGGATAACCCTCAGCTGGCTAAAGCCAACCCCCAGCTGGGCCTGCACCCGGCCTTAATACCCCCATATTGTAACCCAGCTTTTGTACCCCCAGAGGAAAAAAAGGAAAAAGAGGAGGGTGCTGGTTTCCAGAAGAGGTGGGGAGCAGAGAGGGACTGAAGCAGAGAGAGGGGGAGTAAAAAGAATGAGGGGGAGAGGCTAAGGTGCTGAAATTGAGGAGTATGAATGGGAACAGATTGGGTAATTATAGTGTGGTGCCTGCCCTCTGTGGCGAGGAGTTAGGAGGAAATGTGAAAATGGCCGACAACAAAATGGCCTCAAAAGAAGCTAAATCGGCTACAAGGACTGAGGTGGCTAATTCAGCCGCCGTGAACAAGGACATGGCCCCTCAATTAGAAATGAGTGAGGCTTCCTAATTGATAACAAACAGAGCAGCGGAAGATTAAACAGGCAACGACGAGGAGAGGAAGAAGGAGAGGAGGGGAGAGGAGGGGAGAGGAGGCAGTACAGAGAAATGATCGTGAGGAGTATGAGTGAGGGAGTAAAAGAAAAAGACATAGAAAGACGTAAAAACAAGAAAAAAAAATCACAAAAAGGGTTTCTGTGTATGTGAAAGAGAGAGAGAGAAGGAGAGATTATGACAGTCAGAAGAGAACAATATGAACATTTGATGCTGGGGCGCTTTATTCCAGCTTAGCTCCTCATAATACTGTGAATCTGGATAAAGAGAGAGAGAGAGAGAGAGATCCAGAGAAATGAACAAATGTGAAATGAGAGAGAGAGACAAACTGACAACTATGAAAAAAGAGAGAGAGCCAGAGAGAGAGAGACAGAGAGGAGTATCAGGCCGACTAAGAAGGGATAACAATAATACTGCATATAAAACCATCAGATATTACACCTCTTATTCCCCAACGCTCAAACGCGACACTAATCTTATTTATATAAGAGCTTTAGGGGTTGCAGCGCGCCAGCTAACCACACTGATAAAGAGGGGCGTTTTAGTGGGCCATTTTTGGGGAAGTAAAAGGGGAGGAGGGGAGAGAAGGTGGTGGATGCTCAGAGTCCAATATTGACCGATATTTGGGTTCGCTCCAGATAAATGAGGGATTAAGTTAACCTTGCTTATGTCTACTTGTTGCAGTTTGAGGGTTAATGTAATAAAGGAAGGATATAAAGTATTTGATAAAATAGAGTGGACTGACACGCAAAGTTATTGTATGTGAGAAAAGATCGGTGTCTTATGTGGGAAACTTCCTCACACAGATTCAATGAAGTTTGAACTTTGTGATATTTGACCACTTTAGCAAAAGTTTGGGTAAATTACATTTTTAGTTTTGAAGAGAGATGAAGACGTCCGACATTTTCATGTGTTATTTCTAATTTCATAAACTTAAATAACAGGAAAGAATAAACGTGATGAGTGTCACCAAAAGTTTTGAGGAGTCGGAGAATTTCTTGGTAGCCCTTGTGAAAGAGGTTTCTTTGTTTCTTGGTTTCTTTGGGGCAGATCCGGATCAGTTATTTTAGAGATGGGGTGTTTCTCAGCAGTTTCACCAGATAATAATGGATCAGGCATATTCTGGGATCTGATGTCTATGAGTGTGTGTGTGATGATTGAATTTAAAGGGACTTTTGGGCTTTGGCAGAGGTATGTTTTACTGTGGGCCATTTTCATTCTCTATTTTTACTATTATTTTATTTACTAATTAACATTGGACATGAGGACTTCACTGATCTTGCACACGCGCACAGACTTCTGTTTTGGACACATCCAGGAGCTTTGTGTTTGACTAACACTTTTATCAGATAGGTGTTAAGGACTTAACGTTTTAATAACTCTAATTACTAATCTGAGTGACAACAATGAGCTTATTCCCAAAGACGTGCGATACCTGCTCCTCCTCCACAAGTGCTGCCAACCCCAGCATTAGATAGCGGACGAAGATAGGAGTGAACCCAACATACGCAGCTTTCCTTATTGCTATAGCATATCTAACAAGAAGCTGTACAAGCACTCATCTGTGAACAAAAGAGCCGGCATCGGATTCAGCTATCGCACCATTTAATTTAATTAACAAGCTTCATCAAGAGCCACAGACCCTGGGAGAAGAGGAAGAAGAACGACGGGGAGGGAGTTGAAGAAATAAAAAACTTGTCAACAGGATTGACGAATGACCTAATTGGTTACATTATCAACTCATTATCAAAAGCTAATTAGAGAGCTACAGAACAGCGTCAATTATGACAAAAAATGCAAACGACTCAGTAACCCCCTAACACCTCCACGTTAACCCCCCTCAACCTCCACCTCCGCCAAAACACCCCCTACCACCAACTCCTCCTCCCCCTCAATTTAGCCCGACACTGAAGTGTTTCATTTTAACAAAAGGTTTCTTTTTGGGGACAGAAAAGGCTGGAGGGCCTCTATTGTTAGCTGGGAAACAATGAGACTAGAGGGGGGTAGGGGTCCTGGAGGGGGGTATATCATGCTGGGCGTTTCTGGAAGAGGTGAGGGTGTGCGTGTTATCTGTGTGTGCGTGTGCATTTTAACAAGTCGACGGCGCGTTATTGAGTTCTGTGAGCAGGTTGGAAAGTTCTGAGCGGTTCGGTGAAGGTGGGGGTTGCCCTCATTAACCCCCTCCACCCCAACTCAATCAGCCGACCAGCGGGTTAAAGCAACAACACAACCTAATTAGAGCGAGGGACAGAGCGAGGGGTGAAATGTCAACATCCTCCTTTTCTTTCTCTTCTCTCTTTTGGTCCTTTCAAATGATGAGTTGTTGCTCTCTTGGTCACTGAGGCAAAAGGAAAGTGCTTGAAAGAGCATTAACTTTGTTACAGATCCAGGATGATAAGTATTTGCAGTTAAAGATGATAACAATAGTTTTAGACATAAAAAAAAACACTTTGGAAAGATGCCACGTGTGCTGCGTCAACACTACACACACGTGGTTTGATTTCAAACAGGAAACTCAAAAACATCTACAGGCTGTCAGGTCCAGAATTAGAGCCGCAGGAGAAGAAGAGACAGTTTGTGAAAAAATGAAATGAACGAGTGAATCTGCTTCATAATCGGAGGTTGTAGTTTTGGTCGTGCAGCGTGAAGAACCACTGGATGGTGACGTTTCAGTTACCTTCACTAAGTCAGACATACATACAGTACGCTGCAGTGAGGCAAATTATTTCTGGGATTTCCTGTTAAGTATTCTTCTTTAATCAGATGTGTCTGAAATGGTGTCTTATTTTACAATCAAGCAGCACCAAATTGCACACGCTCATATCAGTCCTCTAAATACACCAGATCCACGCACTATTCTCTGGGAAAACTGGTGAAAATATAAAAAAAACAAAAAACATCCTAAATCAAAATGTTAAAGAAAGAGGATCCTGGATCCTGGAGCACATAACCTCCTTAGCAGAAGTAATAATTTGGTCAAAAATATGAAAAGGATTATGTGATTCAATTCATGACATTCACATCTATGTACATGTTTCATTACATCTTCTAAGACATGTTAGTGATTTACAAAAATATGAATATACAAGTAACTCCATTGGAGTAATTGCTGTAGCTGATATATTTTAATTTGATCCAAATTGCTTTGTTGGCTCCTCAGGCCTCTTTCACTCTACAGCTGATTCTAACCATTAAAGTCGGTTCAAAACCAACAGAGAATCATATGATTATATATAATCATATGATTCCAGACACCTATAAATTGTCTTCTTTCCCCTGTTCTCTCTCTCTTTTTTTTTTACATCTGTCATATATCTTTCCTTCTACACCACTCCCCCCTCCTCGCCGACCCTCTTCTCCCACCCAACCTTCCCTTTGCGCTCTTTCAAGGTCCACAGGCTCGACTCCACCTTTTCAATTGGGCTTCCCAGCAGCACTACTTAGTGGGGAGGGAATTGGAAGCAGTGTTATCAATGTGATTGAAGGACCAAGAGGAGTGTGTGTGTGTGTGTGTGTGTGTGTGTAGGGGGGGTTCTGTATTAATGTCTATGGTGTTGGTGAAGCATGGAGCAAAAGGGGGCCCCATGAAAAAGGGGGTCAAACACACAGAAGAGCATTTCAGAGTGGAGAGGAAGAATGAGCAAGTGAGAGGGAAGATGAGAGGAGAGTAAAAGGTTGAGGAGAGGCCATGGAGGCTGTGAAAAGTTTGAGTCCCATACTGAGATCACACCTGCTCTCTGACACACACACACACACACACACACACACACACACACACACAGGAGTCTATTAATTAATTAATACAGTATGAATATTTCATTTACAGTAACGTAACAATATTTTTGTAGTTTTTTGTTGTTTTTTGCAAATAAAAAGACTAAAATCAACCTGGATTCATCAGACAGCTCCAACAAGATAAAACATTATTTTGTGAGGAATTTTGCACAGAAAGGTTATGCACATTTTAAAATTACAATGGGAAAACTGTAATTATTAAAAAAAGCACAGTCTGGGTCGTCGTTTATACAATAAGATATCGTTTTTTTTGCATGCTTTATGCTTTTCCACTCACCATGAATAAATCTCTGTGTTCCAGATCTACAGCGAGGAGGAAGGCCTTCTCAAAGCGCTGGTGTCTGCAGAGAGAGTGGAGAAGGTTAAAGAGGAAACACGACAACACCCTGACATCACCCTAAACTTATAATGAAAAATTAAAGATGAATAATAGGTTGCTGGTATGTGTTTCTTCCTTCACTCTGTAAACATGCTCACACACAGACACACACAGGCCTCTGCAAACAAAACTGTCAATAATTGAACTGAGAATAGCGAGCCCTCTCCCTATTATACAGAATTAAAGCTTGGAGAGAGAGTGAAAGAGAGAGAGAGAGAGAGACAGAGCTGTATCTCCCAGTACGAAACACCTCAAGTTTCCCTGTCGGCAGCCAACATGAAACAAACACAAGCAAACAGAGGAGGTGTGCGTGTGTGTGTGTGTCTGGTGAGGGGGGGCTTCTTTCATTTGATGTTAATGGCGAGAGAAAGAATGCAGGTAGATGATAAGAGAGGAAAGGAGGTGGGATGCCAAACAACGCTGCAGCTCTGCTACAGAGGAAGAGAAGGAGAAGAGAGAGAGAGAGGGAACAGGAGGTAATTGCAGGATGGAGAGCGTCGAGCGGCAGCGTGCAGGAACAACAGGGTCTATTTCAGTCAAACCGGCGTTTCAAAGGGCTCTCATGGCAGAAAGGGAAAATGAAACAACAGTCTAAACAGGTGCATGTGTGGTGCTGCGCGTTATGAATGACTCAAAGCTGCATCAGCGTGTTTGACTTAATTCAAAAGCTATTTCCATTTTTGTATTTTTTTAAATAGCTAAGATTTGGTAAAAGACAGCGTTTCTGTTCTTGATTTCTGCTGGTGAGGCCTTAAAGCAGTCAGATAAAAGTGATATCACTGGTCGGACACGTCATCACACCATTAACTTCTATTTGTAGTTCCAGCATATGACCTCGACTCATGTCCCCTGCCTAAAAAAACATATGCAAGACAGCACATCTCCCTCAGCACATCAAATCAGGACCATGCAGAGTGGGAGGCGTTACCTGAGGAGGTGGTGAAAAAACCGGCGGGCGTACTTGCTGATTGGCTCCCTGTACTCCAGTATCACCGTATCAGAGAGAGGAGCAGGCGGCGAATAAAACACACCCAGAGCTGCTTCGAGTTGAGCTACAGATAGAACATAAACACAAAAACTAAATTCTTTAGATAAAATTAAATAAAAATGGAATTACTTGTATTTTTCTTTAGTTGTGACATAAGTCGGCCTCACCAAACTGGGAACCATGACACTAATGAGGCTTATGACATATGAAGGACAGCTATACTGCTTAGTTTACATTATTTGCATTCTTCTCGTGAGAGCGTTCTCTCCTCTACTATTTACCTCTGCTGTGGAGTTCGTTTTCACTCTGTCCATTTGTTTGGTGGGTTGTTTGTTTGTCAGCGGGATTACACAAAAACTACTGGATGGATTTCCACGTAACTTGGTGAAAGGACGATACGTGTGTCAAGAAAGAAACTGATTACATTTTGACTCAGATCCATAAAATGTCGCAGATCCAGGAACTTTCCTTCACTCTCCATTGTTAGATTGTGACATATTCATTGATTTTCCAGGGTATAATTCATGGGATGTGTTGACAAAAATCTGGCATATTTAAGGGACTGATATCGGTGTGAGCAATTTGGTGCAATAGCTTGACTGAATCAAAGGGGTCTGTTTGGCCTTTGTGGCGGTGTGTGCTCTACTGAGTGCCATTCTGGTTTTCACTGGAATTAAAACAAGTGTAACACAGTCAGAAGACAAACCCAAACCTGCTCTTTGTATTTCACCCCCAGGTTTCCACACACAGACTCACCCTCTCTCTCTGCATTCAGCTCCAGCCTCAGCAGGTAGTTAGTGACTGAGCTCAGGCATCGGTAGCATTCATCTCCCATGATGCTCCAGTCCATGGACTCCAGGATACCCAGGGCCTCTCTGACCTGGCCACAGAGCAGCCGCTGCTGCAGCAGCTCCCCTGGACCCATCTGGCCTCCGGTCAGAGCCCCTGTCACATGGAGTCAGAGATTGGTTAGTGTTTACTATGACATGAAATAATGATAATATAGTAAACAGCAGGATCTTGTTCATCTCCTAGACACATTTAAAGTATATACTAGTATACACTTTTCTATTTGTCCTAGGTCAATAACAATACAGAGCAACTGAAACAACATTTGCTCTCTGTGTGTTACCATGCAGAATAACCTGGATCCAGTAGATCTGAATTCTGAGGCAGCACTAGATGGGTCAGATGGCACTGACTTGTCAATCAATTAGCCTTGAAGTCTGTGTGTGTGTGTGTGTGTGTGTGTGTGTGTGTGTGTGTGTGTGTGTGTGATTAGAACTGCTGAATAATAGAAGATGTCTCCTTCTTTGTGAAAATGGCAAAGGTGCACACATGTTTGTGACTTTGTAGAGTACACATGCGGGAAGTGAAGTTGTTGGACACCAGGGGTAATTATAGTCGACTGAAACTCGATCACAATGGTGCATAGAACAATAGCCAACAGAATGCACAAGCTTGTTTTGGCAAAGGCTAAGCGTGACGTGTGCTGGGGCAACACGGGAGCAGAGCCAAATCACAAACTGTAAATGACAAGATTTTGAGAAGTGTGTTCTGATGGAAACTGGTCGAAGTCTAGTTAATCTACACCATGAATTCATATGCCGACATTTTTCACATGCATGTTTCTCATTATACACGATACCCTCATCTAGTCAGTAAACATCAGGTACGGGTTCTGGACCAAGTGCCAACCTGCTCTGACGTCAACCACTGGTTTGTGAGCTGCAGTTGTGGTTAAGTTCTCATAGACCTCTGAAGTAAGTGACCTCTTCTTGTCCCCTGCTGGTCATTTGAGAGAACACAGGTTTCAGCCACTTCTGCATTGGCTTCACTTTCGTTACGTCTATTTTTTACATACAGTCAGTGTTCTGGACAGTGCAGGTGATCAGTGACAGTGGTACTGCTGACGGCTGCAGGCCCATAAGAAGGCCTTCGTCTAATTAATTGACAAGTGCATGTGTATGTATGTATGTCTGTGTGTGTGTGTGTGTGTGTGTGTGTGTGTGTGTGTGT